AAAAAAAAAAAAAAAAAAAAAAAAAAAAAAAAAAAAAAAAAAAAAAAAAAAAAAAAAAAAAAAAAAAAAAAAAAAAAAAAAAAAAAAATCTGTACTTGAAAACTTGAGCACGTGGAGCCCTTTTTGGCGATATTGAAATGCGTTTGACCGAACATATCCGAGGAGCGCTCATCGGGAGGGAGTGGTAAGTGTTTGACACGAATTATTATTTTTGTTTCTGAAGCATAAGAAACCATGTCCGTGAAGAAACAGCTAAGTAGAAACACAAATGAATTACCTTTTTTCGGTGAGTTTCAATGATGTTCGCAGTGATGCGATTTTCGTCCATGTTCGGTCAAACGCATTTCAATGTTGCAAAAAAGGGCTCCGCGTGCTCAAGTTTTCGAGTACAGATATTTTTTTTTTTTTTTTTTTTTTTTTTTTTTGGGGGGGGTTTCCTTTCCTTTTCTTTTTTTTTATTGAAAGTGCAATGTTTAAGAATTTTTTTGGCGGAGAGTTTGGTTTGATACGGCAGTTCCATTGAGCGTAGGGCATTTTTGAAAAGAGCATGAAAAAAATGTTTCAACCTCTGCCAATCGCTGAAAAATTGCCCGATCTACATCCGGTTAGGACAGGGTGGCTTGTTTTTTTGCGTAGAATTGATTCCTGAAGTAAAAAAGTAGGGGTGCCGTTTGAAAATTTCGATTTACGGGGGGGGAGGGGGCCCGCGGTTTGAGAAAATGTCAAATACGCCTGAAGGTGTCCCCCTCGATATAAACGAACATGTCTTTTACCGTTTTTCGAAATTCCAACCCGTTCGCCAGATATTCAAGGTGGCTCGTTTTTCGTGAGACACCCTGTATACTATAAGCTCCGAGACCTCCAGACCTCCTAATTTTGCGAAACTGGTAACACTTAGTTCCAGCGTTCTACCCGGCCGATTATCATGATTTTTGCGGCTATTGACGGGCAATTGTCTCTAGATAAGCCCATTCTATTCAGTTTTTCAAAATATGACCCAGGTTTTTTTATACTACGTGGTAAAGTTGCGAATTCTCCCATTTAAACATTGTAAATTTATACTTTTTGTCATAGTTCGTTTGAGCGTTCTACCGGGCCGATTTTAATGATTTTTGCGTAAATCGACAGGTGATGGGCCCTATATGAGCCCACTCTAATCAGATTTTGGAAATACGACCCAGGTTTTTTTAAAATCATGTTATAAAAGTGAGTGGATTTACAGAATGCTCCGGGACTGCTACCGCTAGGCGCGGGAGGATGCGCAGTGGTCGAAGAGGTTGCGCAGTGGCTGTGTAGCCTGCGCATCAGCTCTATCCTTATGTACACAAGATTCACCTCACACTTCTTGCACTGGGCAGTGGCCGAGTTGTCTAAGGCGGCAGATGAGCCGGCCGATGCCATAATGGGGGTTCGATTCCCACAGAGGTATCATTTCGAAAATACCTGTTCATCTCAATCTGTTGTTTTACTGCAATGGAGCATTAATAAATCATTGAGAATCGCATCCTTTTGCCTTCTCATTTTTTTCCTCTTATTTATCAAAAAGAAAAATCATTTCATTCTAAAAAGTAAAATATACCTCATGTCGTAATTTTTTAGGGGAGAATTAAAACCAACATTATTAAGAAGCTAAAAGAGAAAAACGCAACGATAAAAATCGGAAACGAAAAATTTAAAAAGAAAATAAATGAAATAATAATATGAAATAATAGTAAATAAATAAATAATAAAGCAACACAAAATATCAGAACGAATTTCATTAAAAAAATTTGCGACTGTCATTGCGTAATATAATTTATAAAGCTTTATATTGCTTTTCTAGATGAAATTTTGCGACATTGCATTTGAATTGGTCCATTGGGTTTTTACTACTTCCGTCATTTAAGTTTTGCCGAGATGTGTTGAACAAATATTATGAAAATATGAATTTCATTAACGGTGCGGGTACAAAAATGGGCCGCGCCGCTTGCCGCCCCTTGATGGCGCTGAGCGCCTTCAGGAGGTTGGGCCGCGTAGCCCCCTAGTGATCCCATACAGTCCAAGGTTTCTTTGCCCCGAACCAAGTGATTACACATCTGAGGTGTGTATCATGGCTCTTCAAATTCGCAGTTCAAAACTAAATTAGGGATTACAGTTACTTAATCCAGTTCTGCTCTCTTGCTCAATGTTTGTCATAAGTGTTTGTTCGTGTCTGTTCTTTGTAAGTGACCAACTGACCACTTTAGTGCATACACATTTACGCTATCAGTACAGGTATTATTTCTTTTTTCTACAGTCAGAACTTTCTCTTAAGTGCAATAATTTACCAAAGAAATTCCCCTAGTTGCGTAAATAATTTGGTGTTACTAATTCAGTTACTATCTCCTTGCTGTGATGCAAAGATTCTGAGATCTGTCCTAAGTGGGTTTTGCATTTGGACGGTCACTCTTGTCTGATAAAATTACTGCTCTAGCAGCTTCAAATTTATACTTCGGTCTCTGATTCATCTATAAATGACACTTATGGTGTCATTTATCTGTAATCAGTTCAAAGCTATTTCAAAAATGAATCATCGAAGGTCGGATCCAAGAAGGAATTTTCTGGTGTGTGCTGCGGCTGAATCGACATCACAACTCAACTTTTGAAAGTGTCAACCAAGACATGAGCATCTGTCACGAAGTTGAAATATTTTGCAAAATTATTGAAAGTTTAAAGCAGCCCAACAAGACAACAAATTCCGATATATTGCATGGTTAAGATAGGGCTATGTCTTTTCATGTCGGGCTGACATGGTTTCAATAATAGGGCCGCTGGTAGTTTAACAGGTAAGATATCTAAAGTTACTTAGGTATCACAAGGTTACATTCGCATTTGTGGAACAGTTTATGTAAGCATGCTTACCTTTGTAAAGAACCTGCTAGAGCAGTAATTTTATCAGACAAGAGTGACCGTCCAAATGCAAAACCCACTTAGGACAGATCTCAGAATCTTTGCATCACAGCAAGGAGATAGTAACTGAATTAGTAACACCAAATTATTTACGCAACTAGGGGAATTTCTTTGGTAAATTATTGCACTTAAGAGAAAGTTCTGACTGTAGAAAAAAGAAATAATACCTGTACCGATAGCGTAACTGTGTATGCACTAAAGTGGTCAGTTGATCACTTACAAAGAACAGACACGAACAAACACTTATGACAAACATTGAGCAAGAGAGCAGAACTGGATTAAGTAACTGTAATCCCTAATTTAGTTTTGAACTGCGAATTTGAAGAGCCATGATACACACCTCAGATGAGTAATCACTTGGTTTGGGCCAAAGAAACCTTGGACTGCATGGGATCATATTGCTGCAGTTTGAGAGGTCAAAAGGCTGTAATACTAAATAAATATTAAACTTCTAACTATTGAATGAATTCAGGATCACATACTTAAGATAAAGAAACTGCAAAACATTTGATTTGAGGCGAAAATGAAAAGAGAATGGTCAAAAAGAAGAATGCCAGGGTTTAGACATTGGACTTGTTAAACTGATTTTCAGAATGCACTTTAAAATGAGCCAATAAGCCGTAGCTCCAGGTTGTAAAATACGATGAATATTATTTTTAAATGCTTGGTTAAAGTCAAAATTGGATTTTAATTAATTAAAATCAAGAAATTTCTAGTTGTTAGGATCCTTTGTGTTATCAATCTTCTTTTGTTTACAACCCCGATGTTTTGCAGTGCAGCATTCTATGGCAGAGGTACCTTAGCAGAGGACGGCCGGCACGCGAGGTCAAAAGTGTGGCCATCTCCGGACGGATAGAATGGGCCGCCATTTTGGATAGCCCGAGCGGTGCGCCGTTTAAATGGGAGCTCAAAATACGGAATTTTGAACTCGTATTTCGTAGGTTAATATTGCTAAAAAAAATCGGGGAAAATTTCTGTGAACTATGTGCACTATCTAGGTTTAAAAACGCATGAATTACAAAATACTGAACAAGCTCATTGAAGTACAGGCACGGACCAAGAGAATAAATAAGGACCCCCGACTCCAGTTGGCAGCAACACTAGCGGTGCCTGGCAGAGGGTATAGTGAGCAAAACCAACCATTGGGTTCTCCAGTCTCATGTTTCCATGCACTACCTATTCAGGCTTATCACACAGGGCTAATGGAAATTTTTAGATTTAGATCCTCATGGTCATTCTGAAGTTCTGAAGAGTTTAATGTGAAAAATTTTCCATTTTAATTTCGATCTTCATAAGTCTTCGGGTACATAAACTGGTAATAATGTGAAGTGTCTTTTCTATCCTTTTTACTCAGTAGCAACTGCTTTTGAGAAAGCAGAAGGAAGTGCGTATGGAGTGTGCACTTGTGCAGCAGGATTGTACTTCTAGCCAAAGGCGTATCTGTGTTAAAGTTGAATCTTTTTAGAAAGAAATAGTGTTGTACTGATAAAAATCAACTCAGTGTCACAAAATCAAAGATATGAACTTCACTTCAAGCATTACCTTTAATTTGATTATTAGCAAGTCTCTTTGATTCTGCGTCAAAAGTTGACTGAATCATCATATTTGCTTGTGTTTTCATAAGATACCTCAAATCAAAGTCTTCCTCATTGACCACTGCAGAAAGTATGTATCCATACTATTTCATTAGTTTGATAAAGTAAAACGTATTAAATTATCTAAATAAATAGATCATAGAATTTACAATGAACATTGTATGGAACACTACCTACTGTAGACATTATGATCTAGGACCGCTGTGGCGTTAATTCACCGCACCCTCTGCCAGGTTTGCTGCAGTCGCACAGTAATAGTTTTTAACACAGGTTTAAATAGGAAGTCGGGGGTCCTTATTTATTCTCTTGATCCATGGTACAGGCTCGGAAAAAAATGTTCTCACGGGTAAAGGATGCCAAGGAGTTCATAATTGACAGTTCGGTATCCCCTCCTGATGGGCAACAGGGTTGGTCCTGAGCTCATAAATTTAACCATTTAAGATTCTCTTGATTTCGGATTTCTCGGTGTTTCAATAGGTTGAAATTTTTGGCACAATCCAAAATCTGGGGGTTTAGATTTTCACTCGTTTTACGCAACCATCCCAATATGGAATGGGTTTCGCCTAAGTGGTCGTTTAGAGAGTTAAGCTGTCTTATGTTGGTTTGGCTCTATTTAGAATAATCTTTGATCAGGAGTGTCGGCAAAGGGATGATCAGGGGACTGAAGTCGAGCCGACCAACTAAACCAAACTGACGTCTGCATATGTACCTGGATACTGCTGGAGTCGTCCTTGTTTGAATATGCAGAGTCTACGACACTTTGTGCCAAAGGGTGAGGACCATGCAAAATTGACTACAGAAGTATTTCAATTTTCCACAGAATCTTACGGGAAAAAAATAATGATCAAGGGCTTTCCACACTTCAGGCAAAATGTCACTCTCCAAATTTAGACAGTTATCAATTTTGGTAAAATAAACTCTCCCTTACTAACAAGGGCCGGTCCCATTATGATGCTAATTCTAAGAACTGTTTTTGAACATGGAAGTCCACTAGAGGTATGACCAGCAGCACTGCTGTGTTTTCTTTCAAATTTTACCTTCCATTAGTTAGTTAAATTGACAATGCCTGACTCTTGCAGGAACTTCACTTTGTTAGCTGTAAAAAGCACACAAAAATTGAGTCTGCAACATGGAGAGCCTTAAGTATTTGCTTTTTCACGGAGGGACCTTCATTTCTAACAACCTTATGTCTCAACTGAATAACAGCCATTCATACCTGTTTGGAAAGTGTATTAGTCGTTTCGTGCACCCACAAACTTGTGTCATTTTTTATAGGTGATGGTTTGTTTTGACTCCCTAGAAAGAAAAATCAAAAACATTAACGAAAAATATACAATGAAATAGTGAGTCAGCTACAGAGTATCAATATGTCAGATTATCTTATGAGTACACACAGCAGAAGTTATGAGAAATGTATGGCATTAAACTGTTGGCACTTTGCTTTGAAGAGAACAACCTATTAATCAGGGGCTACTTGCCTAGAATGCTTCAGCTTAACATATTCGATTCCTTTGGCATGAGTTTTTCTAAGAATTCTTGATCATTGACTGATAATTCCTTACACAACAAAAAGGTACACAGATGTACTAGAGCTATCGCCCTTCTTTGAATGCCTTGACTTATGATTGCCCTTGGCTAAGGATGACAAAGTTACTTTCTTCTCTCATGAATTTAAGCTGAGATAAAGAGGGTCATTATTTGTACCACTTTAGTGCAGAGTAACCAAAAAAAGCATAGGAAGCCGCCAACAAGCTTCTTGCTGTTGTGGAACTTAGCGCTTCTAACACTTTTCCCTGATCATTTCCATTCAGAGGTCTCAAATCAAGAGTTCAGATAATGAAGAAATTTCCAAGTTTTGGTTAGAAGGAATGGAAACTAAAAAACATTTAAAAGACACGAGGAAAATATAATTTCCATGTTCACCCTTTTGAGTAATTTCCATAAAAGGAAGACAATTTTTTCCAGGTACATCCTTTTTTGAGAGGTACTATCTATTCTGTAATTTCTTCTTTTCTTTTTTCAACAGATTTCGGGAAGACTATTTAATTATAAGTATTTCACACAAAACTGTCATTAAAAGATGACACTGAAAACAATGACAATTATTAAACACATGTATTTTCAACATTGAGTATGCATCTAATTGAAATGTTAATACTTAACTCAATTCAAAGCTCAAAGTTTGGTTCATGCATGAGACTTTAGGATTTTGAATGCTCTGTAACTGACATGATTCTGCTTTTTAAATTTATAATACATTCTATTTTAAGCTTTTAAAAACTAATTATGAGCTTTCAGTGGTGGTCCATCTTTTTTGCTATGACAGTAACACCTTTTCAATAACCTTACTCGAATCTCATTGACAGAATCCATATTTTCAGCTAGAAAATGGAGCTCAAAGAAATAATAACGAACAAGACAAAATGCACGAAATGTGTGAAGTTGGGCAGAGGGCTGATTCATATTTTAGGGGGGGCTGAAATTGATGGACAAATGATACATAAAGGGACAATGGAGGGAACTTAGCAGGTGGTTGTTATTGACAAACGGAGGAAATGATGGACTAACTATAGGGTCTCTCCTAGGTTGCTGGGTGGTTGCCCATTGCTTAGCTCCTTTGTCTATTGCAACTACCAATAGGATCACTCCAATTTCTATTTGTCTACCGCTTCGTCTATCAATTTCAATAATCAGCCTGCAGCAGGCCGATTATTGAAATTGATCGACAAAGATATAGACAAAGAAGATAAAAGAGATATGGAGGGATCCTATTGGTGGAAGCGGGTGGTTGCAATGGACAAAGGTGATAGGTAATAGACTAACTAATGGCAACCCGCGAGAGACCCGATAGTTAGTCCATCATTTTCTCCCTTAGTCTATAGGAGCTACCCATTTCAACCAATAGGATAGCTCCATTCTCACTGTGACTTCTTTGTCTGTCGCTTTGTCTGTCAATTTCAACAATCAGCCTGCTGAGGGACTTGAAGAGAAGAGCTGCTTGTATGAATCACCTGATTTGGATGCAGAGGGTGGAGTCTTTAAAGATGCAGTTACACCATTGCTTGCAGCAGCTGCGGCTTGTTCTTTGTGCATCGGATGGTTTGGGTCAGCTAGATCAAAGAGTGGCTGAATGACATCTGGCCCGAAAACAGCATTCTTTTGCCACAAATTCAATACTCGGATAACTTTGCTCTACAAGAGATGATAAAATCATATTCAATTCCTAGCTCAAGTGAATGATATGGATGACTTGTCTTCAAATGAAGTTTGTTCAGTTGTGACAGGATCTGTGAGAAGGGACTTCATCTTCCTCGAGCAAAATTTTCTAGGAGAGTCGAATCTAGGGAAAATAGGCAATTTTGAGTCCTCAACAGGAAACGCTCTCCTGAAGCCTTGAGAGCGAGCTAGGCACAGTTTTAGTTTAATTTTCTCACCACAAAAGGCGTTAGTCGCTTCTTTCCTATGTGTATGTCAGAATGCTTAACATAAACTTTGCCTGAAACTTTAACCTGACAATTTTAACTTTAACTTCAGGTTTTGTAAAACATTTTTCAGAGGACTTTGCAACTTTGATTTTAATGGAAAAATTTGGTGATCGAATCCACACTCTTCCCTACAATTCTCACAATTTATCTTTCTAAAGACCTAAAAGAGGAGTGTTATTGATTATTCTAAATTTGATTTCAAGGGTGTCATTTAGAATAAAGCTCATGCATGCATGAGGGATTTGCGATTTAAGTAATTTCACTTTCGTAAAAGTTTGCGAGAAACATGATGGTGCCACTGGTTTCCTCTGAAAACATCCCTATAGCTCAAAAAAGCTCTCAAAGTTGAGGCTGTAATGGAGGGGCTGTCCCACGCTACCCTGAAAGTCCACCCCTACGTCCAGTCCAACTCTCCATGTAAATATAAGGAGCAAATACATTAACGAAGTTGTCGAGCTTCCAGTTTTTGAGTCCCCAAATAAAGTAGCAACCCTGCTAATGTAATTGCTCCCTATAGCTTCGATTCCGGTGGCGGTCGCGCAGCGTCATTTTCGCGTGCAAAGATGCTGCGCAGCAATGTCGCGGGACCGCTGATAAGCGTTTCGAACAAGGCTTGGTTCGGGTGCGGAATTCTATCGTCTGGCGACTGGCACTGGTCGCCAGGTGACGAGATCCTGAATACCCCGGAAACAGTGTTCCAACTTCACCTCCAAGTTTTAGGAGCCGTTTGGCCCGTCAAGTTCAATTTTTAGGGGCCATTGAAGATTTTTTAGCGGCCAAATTGAATTTTTGCCTATATATCACGGCACATTTAGTGAAAAGTTATACGCAAGATGTACAATTACAGGACTTGCAAGTCGCAGCTCGCAGCCATTACTTGGGATAGGGAAAGGTCAAAGGAATGATATTCCGATTTAAAACAAGGAGCTTTTAGTTTACTTAAAGTTTGTTCAATTAAATAATACTTTTTCTGACTTCCTATTATGAAAAGTAGTAGAACTATGTAGAAGTACCTTATTTGAGGTCCTTAGAAACAAAAGGAGTTATCAGATAAGTTAAGTATTCATTTTCTGATTTGGAGAAAACGAGTTCAAGCTTCAAAATTGTATGTGATCTTAAGACATGAAAAAATCGTATGACGTTTATCGTTCCACAAGTTGAGTAGCTTTTTTTTAAAGTTGAAATACCTCCCCCTTTTGTTCCAAAGATTGTACTTGCCTACTTTTTTTGGTTCTAAGGATCTCACGGGTGAATAAAATACTATTGGCTCGATGAAAATAAAATGAGAGGTGCTTTTACAAAAGTACACACTTCACTTCTTTTTTTTTCATTTATTTTTATAACCCTCACAGATGTAACTTTGAGCTGAAGGCACCTCTTGCTCTTGCTTTGAATTTTGAATACATTTTATTTGCTCTTATCCTGTTTAGTGAGAAGTCTGAAAAGTTAAAATAAAAGAAAAGAATATTATAACTGATGTTATTATGAAAGATGATCAATGTGTTATCTTGAGAGAAAAAAATGTGAGTCAAACTATGAGTCCCTAATTTTATTTTTAAGAGAGGTAAACAGTGCCCATGTGTTACGAAAGAAAATAGTGAAAAGACAGTAAACAAAAATTGGATTTTTTAACGAAATGATTCGTTTATTGAAGAAGCTAAAAAGCTGATGATGAATCAAAAAGAAACTTAACAGTTAACATATATATCGGCGATCGGCCGAAGGCAGAACTCCCGAGACTCGGCGGAGTGATGCCGCAATCACACGCTGAATGTGGGAGCTGAATATGGCTTGAATGTGGAAGTCATCGGCCCGATGCCTGAATTTTGCGCGTGACGCGCAAAATTCAGCAACGATCCTCAGCAACCATCGAACCAATTTTGAATTTGTTTGAACTATTCGAGTAGATTTGATACACATCTGGATGAAAATAACTCAAATTTGCTAGATTTCAGCCGTTGGGCGATGACTGTTGACTTCCTCATTCAGCTGCTAAATTCAGCGTGTGATTGCGGCAATAGATGGATTTCTGCGAACGCGCACTATCCCCCCCCCCCNCCCCCCCCCCCCACGCTATCTACAGTCTACGACGATTCTCAATCTGCAGAGCCGCGGCCGCGACGAAGCTCCGCGCGCAATTGCTTGCTTTGCACGTTCAGTCCAGGCTGACTGACAAAAATCTTGAAATCATCAAACCGTAATTTAGGACTGCGATAATTTTTTAGGGGCCACGTTTGGCGCAGGGTCTTCATTTTTTAGGGGCCATAGCCGATTTTTTAGGAGCATTTGGCGACATGGCGCTCGTGGAGTTGGAACACGGCCCGGAAATAGAAGTCACGCGAAGAAACCGCATGGCTGAAGCAAAGTTATGATTTGCCCCAGTCCCTGTCAAGACCTCGTGGGTACTTTTACTCTTAAAAGCTGGCATCATCTGCATTTAGACGACGATTAACAGGAATTTCAAACGCACCCTCGATCATCCGTGCTTTGAAAGGTTTCCCGCCTTTTCCAAATTTTTCTACTGAGAGAAGCAACAACAGTCTTTTCCATTTAGGGGAATTTTGAAGTAACAAGATCAATTTTCTACTTTTGTTATCCGCCCTTATATTTTTGGTGAAAAGAAAAAAACACTAAATTCATACTACAAAATAGAGCTGAGCGCCTACCTGGTTTCCACTTCAACAACTATTTTTGTACTGGTTCATCTGTTGAGAAACAATTCTCACTGAGCCACGGAGGCGACGAAACAGACTTTTTTAATGTGGCAAAGGAATCACTCGCGAATTTGCCGCACGGAAAAATCGCAGGGCGGTGGCCATCAGAACCAAAGCTTATCTACGCATAGAGTTTGTCTTGACATAGAAGTGGACTCTCAGGATAGCGTCAGATATCCCCTCCATTACAGCCTCAATTTTGAGAGCTTTATTAGGCTTTTGAAGTTGATTTCAGAGAAAACCAGTGGCACCATTGAGTTTCTTGCAAAATTTTACTTTGGAATCAGTACTTAAATCGCAAATTCCTGACACATGCGAGAGTTCCATTGGGAAACTTACTCCTGGACCTTTAAGGAACTTCCTAAATCTGCTTGAGAGGCCTACTCAGACGAGCTATGGACTATTTGAGTCCCCTTGACCAGAACTTTTTGACAATTTTAAAAGGTACCAAAATTCTACTATTTGAGTTGAAGAAGCTTCTATCCTTCAGACACCTTCATCAAGAATTTCACTTACTTTATCTTCAACAGGGCAGTTGAATAAATGGACGAAAGTTTGCACAATGTTCCTGGCAAATCGTGGTGCAAACACATCCTTCTCCGAACCAAACTGATGTCTTGACTGCCTCACAATTGAATCAATGACATAAAGTCCAGGAACTTTGTACTCTGGTTTGCACTGTAAACATAAAACAGGCTTCACTTTTACAGCGTACAATGATTTAGATGGTGCTTCTTTGTGACTCAAAGATTATTTGTAGGTAAAGAAGCTTTTGGCAAGAAAATTAACTCAACATAAAATACCCCCAAGACCAAGGATAATTTACAGAGGGACTACTTAGACTTTTTTCTTCAGATAAGGTTGAACGTTTGTCGAGGATGAACTTCATTCAAATATGAAGTTAAATAATGGTTGGAGAGCAGATGGCACATGCAATATCAAGAAAGAACGAGTAATCGGCAAGTATACAAAGTAAGAAATTCAAAGAACAAACCCTCTGGATAAATTTTTCAACACTCTGCACCACATGTTTGTAAAATTTTATTGCTTTAATGGCCGTCTTTGTGATTGAGGTCATCTTCGCCTTAGAGATCGGAGGCTTCGTCTCATAGAGAGATTGTAGCTGTAACAAGAAGGGCAGCAATCATTATAGTCATACCAAAGAATTGAATCATTCAGTAACGAGTCACTAAGAACTCTTGGAACTAAGTCTCCAATTTATTCATCTTGGAGGTATGTGACAACTTTTAACTGATGATAATATATTGTAACAATCAAAACAATGGCTAGTTGCAAGGGTGCAAGCACTTCTTCACAGCGCAAGCGGGTAGGTCACACTTGATCCTGTGCAGAAATAGAAAGGCCGTCGGAGGGGGTAGGCCATAAAAACATGTTTTACTGCAAAAGCAAGGAAGAAATCAGATAATTTAAGTAAAATCATGGAAATTTGTTTGTTCAAAGCCAAATAAGTCATCACTAGGAAATTCCTGAGGAAAAAGGGGTCTTAACAACAAGATGACCAATTTGAGAGATGGGAAGACAAAGAAATTCCTGCATCTCTAGCTAGTTGACTATTCTAGCAGTTCGTGAAATCATAGAAAGAGAACTGAGAGAGTAGATGAATCTGAAAGAATGGTTTAGGAATGATTTATGAGACAAGTAGGCAACTTGAAACCATTTTTAGGTTAGGACTATCGTGGTACTTGGGATGCATCAGTTACATCAAAGCTTCAAAGTAAATAGATCGGGGATCAATCGAGAATAATTATGAAGAGCTTTAAATGCAAGTTTCGGTTGTAAAAGACTTGAAAAACTGCAACGGGAAAAAGGTAAAGAAGAAGTGTGTAACTCAGCGACCATTGATCGTCAAAAGAGAAACACATCCTCCAGGTCAACGATGCAGCTCCTTCCCTAAGGTGAAACCAATGGTGGCTTAAAGATTGTGAGTGTTCAGACCAGGAATTAGGAAATTCAACTTAAAGAGCGAAATCAGGGAAACCGATGGAGTTTGATAGGGTATCTAGTCAGGCCATAGGTTATTCACAGCTTGTGTACCTCCGAATTGAACTGCTTGACAGCTTCCATTTTAGGGCTGTTGCGATGTTTAAGTTCCGCAAATCACCAATCTTTGAAGCTTATCATTTCAGAACGCGCACACACTCAAATTAACCTATAATTACCACAAATTACACATAGTCTGGAACTAATTCACGGCATTGCCTGCCTGAGATTTTCAAGTTTACAGGGAAAAGGAAAACAATTGTGTGTAGATGATTTGTAGTGTCAAATTTCTCTACTCAGCGCTGTGGTCGACGCATACCGGAGACCCCAAAGAGATGGAGATTATACAGACGGTGGTGGCAAGCGGAGAAATGTACTTTTCTACGTCACAGTTAAAAATGAAGCCGCCCCTCTAATTGGTTAATGGTATCGCGGGAAAACCGAGACCTCTTTGAAATTTTAAAAGGAACGGGAAAGGTTGTGAGGTTTCCACTTAAGGTGAGGTTGGGTAACTGGGCGGTGGGGTAACTGGGCAGTACCCTCTGTATTTCTACAAGATTAGTGCAAAAATTGTTTTCACTGTTGGCATACCTTCATTATGACGTAAACCATCTAGAACATGTAAACATAACTTCAAAAAAAAATTTTATGGTGAATGGTGAAGTGCCGAAAATTGGACAGCTTTTTTTTCAAAACAACGCCGGAGGTGGTCCCGAAAAGCGCCTCATATCTCACTCCCAGCAAGTATTTTATTCAACTTTGACAATTCTTCTTCATGTATGATGTATTTGTGTAATGCGTGAGTAATTACAACGTAATTGGATGAAAATACTGGCTGCAAAGGGTTGATACCCAGTTACCTTGAAAATTTTCCCTTTGTGGGGTAACTGGGCACCCACCCCAAGGTAACTGGGCAGGTGGCAGTGGTGGCACCTGCCCAGTTACCCATTGCAAGGTTACTATGCTTCGGTGTTTGTTTACTTCTGAAAATGTCCAAATTAATTGACTATTGTGGACTTTTAAGTGCCAAAGACCAATAATCAGGGTTCCCAGCACACTAAACTTCTAACTTAAGTCAATTATAGCATAACTTAAGCATTACTTAATTACATTTTTGCCGCTTACTGTTATGACATCACTTTTAACGACTTAAACATGGTTATATAAATTCAAATGAAATTCTCTGAAACCCTCATGAGAAGGACATTCTTTTCTGGCCAATGAGAATTACAAATAATGCCCCCCTTAAAAATTAAGGGAACTTTTTGGCGCCTGACTCTATCCCAGATCAGCCTTGCGGCTTAATTTTTTTTCATTTTTTAAAAATGTATCATGCTTAATCTCACTAAAAGTGGCCAAACAGTGTCCTCGTATACAATACTACTTTATAAGTAGTACTACAGAAAGTTCTAAGCATTTATCTACAAAGAAACAATTTTTTTTTTACCGTTATTCAATTCTCAGATTTGAGGGTTTTTTTGCCGCTAACTGTTACGACATCATTCTTAACCACTTAAACATGTTTATATACATTCAAATGACATTTTCTTAAACCTTCATGAGCAGGACATCACTTTCTGGCCAATGAGAATTAAAAATAATGCCCCCCTCAAAAATTAAGGGGGGGTAGTCCAGTTACCCCACGACGTTGGGTAACTGGGTGAAAAAAACGGGAAATTTTTGAAAATTTGTGGGAAAAAATTGAAAGATGAAATTCGACTTTTGACTCTTCCTACATTTAGACAAGGTGTTGTACTTACTAAAAAAAATTTAAGAGTAGCCTCCTTTGTCAATATAATGATGGGAAAAAAATCATGAAGTTGAAATTTTGACATTTTTCTCCGAACTCCTGCCCAGTTACCCAACCTCACCTTATTTTGGCTCTAAAAACTCGTTACTATTACTTTTTATGTTTCAATATATTTTTCTATCAACGTTTGACTATAACTGAAAATAATTTGTGAGTTAAAAATGTATATTTCATATCTTAACAACTTTTATCTCGACTCGTCCCGTTTTGAAGGCATAACCATATTAGATTACGTACGTTCTGTACGTCAAAAAAACAGGAATTGGAGGGTCATGGTAACTAATGTTCAATTATATGACTTTCAATGTTACATTCAGTGGTGATGTGGGTCTTTAGGCAGGATGAAATGTACTCCTTTTTTTTTTTTTTTTTTTTTTTTTTTTTTTTAATACAGTGCGCCAGTGTTATTAACTTTTTTTAGAATTATTGATTAAACCTTTGGAGGTCTGAGAGCGTTTCAGATGGTCTTTCTGTTGATGCCGCGGTATTATGCTACTATACTGAAGGTGCCAAACACAAAGAGCGGGCCAAAAGGGAAGTTTAGAGAGCAAAACCCCCAACCTAACCTCTAAACTAAACGAAAACATTTGCAACGTGCGAATGTTTTAGGCTTGCGGTAAAAAATTTCAAAATTTAGAATCACTGTTTTTAGCGTTCCTTAGCTTCCTGAGTGTATCCCCAAAAGTTTCAATAAATTTCATGAAATTTCGTGAAATTTCACTCGTATAAATTTCATGAAATTTTCCGTCTCTGTACGTCATAGCCATAGCCAATCTTCAAGATGGCTGCCTTGCCACCACCCTCTGTATTTTCTCTATGCCGGAGATGGCCGGAGACCGTGGTCGGGGAAAGAGGAAGAACTTCACTTCAAGGGGCCGATATACACCTGCGAGTTAGACGCGCATCTTGAGCGGCGAGTAGGCCTTCGGGTGCCTTCGGCCGTGTTTGGTAATCTTCACTAGGCCTTGTCTCCACTAGAGTACCTGTATAGTGAGAGTATGGACAGATCGCTTCATGGAGGGCCACTGGGCCAGAGTTAAGAAATTTCATGAAAGATTATAAAAAGAAATTTCATTTAACAAGCAGAATTCAGGATTAAACCCTTGAAACTTATGAATCTCCTTAAGTTCATTTGTATGCACGTGGTAAACTGTGAAAGGGAACTTTAGAAATGCCCAGAAAGTTGAGTAAAACAGCAAAAACATAATTTTGAATTTTTTTTCTTAAATTTTGGTTGAACACACAGCGCACAGCCGTACCGGTTGAACACCAAAATAAATTTTACGGATGAAGTAAGACGTTAGCTTTCATATTTGGAGCAAAACAAATTTCTTGACTATAAAGAATCCGAGTACTAAGTACCCCCTAATAGTATATCCTTCTTTTTTTGTACAAAAGGGAGGGAGGGATCTTGAACTATCTTTGAAACAATTTAAATGATTTTTTCATTTGTCTCTGATTTTTTCAGAAATTAACAGTTTGAAATTTGAAGTTAGGGTCCCCGGCCCCCCTCCCCTTGATGAGCCAGAACTGCCAGAAGAGAAAGAGTAAGAGAAGACCAGAAGAGAAAAGCTGAGAGAAGACCGCGCTCCAACTGGTCTAATTGACGAATATTATTCTCTTTAAAAATAAAAACAAATTCTGTTAGAAAAAATAAGCATTTTTGACATTTTGTCGGTCGAAAGAAATTTCATTCGATGAAATTTCTTTTAGCAACTCTGTGGAGGGCTTAGGGCCCAAAAGTGCAGCCACCCTTCTAACCAACTTCTAACGCACAAAATTTCACTGCCAGTCTGCAGATTCCAATTCTAACCATGATGGCAAAGAATGTACAGAAATGAGCGTTCTTCCGCGAAATTGAGTAAATTTATGCAAAAACTGAGTCAAACACGTGCTTAATAAACGACGGTTCGTAACAATAGTATTAGTAAATCGTTCTGGATAATTGAAATTCATAGGTTGGCTGCATTTCTGGGCCCTAACTTTATTCTTGCTTTATTCGCAGAAGCATCGGCGAAGGCCTGATGGATTCTCGGAGTTTCACATCTGTCCATACTCTCGCTATACAGGTACTCTAGTCTCCACGAGCCGTTTCACGAGATATTGAGTTAATCAATAATATTTTTCCCAGTACCAAGTATGGTACTAGGTAGAGTACCTGTATAGCGAGAGTATGGACAGATGTGAAACTCCGAGAATCCATCAGGCCTTCACCGATGCTTCTGCGAATAAAGTTAGGGCCCAGAAATGCAGCCAACCTATGAATTTCAATTATCCAGAACGATTTACTAATACTATTGTTACAAACCGTCGTTTATTAAGCACGTGTTTGACTCAGTTTTTGCATGAATTTACTCAATTTTGCGGAAGAACGCTCATTTATGTACATTCTTGGCCATCTTGGTTAGAATTGGAACCTGCAGACTGGCAGTGAAATTTTGTGCGTTAGAAGTTGGTTAGAAGGGTGGCTGCACTTTTGGGCCCTAAGCCCTCCATGAAGCGATCTGTCCTGTACTAGGTACTTGTACAGAAGAAGAAGTGAAAACGAATTGTGCGATATTTTATTCATTACTACATTGTTAATGTTTGTTTAGTTAAAGTAATGTGTCTAATTGTCAATTGGGTGCATTTATTATTATAATCCCGGTTAAATACTCGACTTTAACTACTTTATCTTCCCGCGCAAACTAGTCGTAGGACTGTATGATCCCCGGCCGCCGTCCCGTGGAGACGGTAACTGGGAAAAATCCCAGAAGTTTCATTCCTATGATTTGAACTTGGGGCAAATCCCATAAAAACGTCCCGTGGAGACAAGGCCCTAGGCAATAAGATCGCAGCTCACCTCCCGTAATTATAAGTGAAACATTTTTGAGACACTTCCTTCCTTCAACAGTTGCGCTAATTTCCCTCAACAGTTGCGCCGTCGAGACAAGGCCTATAACTCGCTCAAAGAAGAATCGGATCCTTCTTTTCGGGTCAAGACGCGCATGTAGCGCGCAGCTGTTGTATCTCGCCCTTTACAGGGTGCTCTAAAAATCCACTCCACTCCCTCGATTATATTATCACATTTATATTTTTAGAACAAAACTTTGAGAACCTTCATGAATTGATGTAAGCTACTTATGAACCCATGATCATCGGGTCGGTAGGCGAACACTCTACCGCTCGGCCACGGGGAAAGTGATATTAGTAGCCGGTCAAGTCGGAAAATAGACATTGCGCTTCGTGCGGCTTGCCGGCGCTCAGTTGACTCGCCGGAACTCCGCGCGGAAACGTGCAAAAATCGTAACTTTAGAAATCCAGCTTCACCGCTCGACGCGACGTCGCGTTGAATAAATCATTTCGTTCTTACATGGTCTCGTCATAAATCTCTTACTAGATCCTGCGGTGTGAAATCATAAGTTCTAACGTCGTAACCTAAATTTGAACTCATAGTTCAACGAAGGGTTCTTGAATCATGACTTCATAAATTTCTACCATATCCTACCTACTACGTATTTAACTTTCTATTCTAACATCTAACTTAAGTTTAAACATATAACCTGTGATGTTACAAGTACTGGCGACTAAGTTTAAACATATTGCTTCACGTCGCGTTCAGATGACGTCATAACATAAGTTTACCTACCCCAAAACCGCCATTTTGGCCGCCATCTCGAAGTAGGTTTACGGGGGGTTGGAAAAGCGAATTTTTCATTTTTTTTCAGTTTGCGGAGGGCTAAGTATGAGGTAGTGAAAGGTTTTCGGGGAAGGCTTGCGGCGGCATTCGCGATACACGGGCGCTAAGTGGGCGCGGGCGCTAGGTGGGCGCGGGCGCTAGGTGGGGAAGGTAAGATGGAGGGCGAGGGCGGAGGNGTTTTTTTTTTTTTTTTTTTTTTTTTTCAAGATTTTTTTTTAAAGCGAATTTTTCATTTTTTTTCAGTTTGCGGAGGGCTAAGTATGAGGTAGTGACAGGTTTTCGGGGAAGGCTTGCGGCGGCATTCGCGATACACGGGCGCTAAGTGGGCGCGGGCGCTAGGTGGGCGCGGGCGCTAGGTGGGGAAGGTAAGATGGAGGGCGAGGGCGGANTTTTTTTTTTTTTTTTTTTTTTTTTTAAGATATTTTTTTTTAAGCGAATTTTTCATTTTTTTTCAGTTTGCGGAGGGCTAATTATGAGGTAGTGAAAGGTTTTCGGGGAAGGTTGCGGCAGCATTCGCGATACACGGGCGCTAAGTGGGCGCGGGCGCTAGGTGGGGAAGGTAAGATGGAGGGTAGAGTCCCTTTATACCCAGAGTTAAGACAACTCACTTTTGGTTGGGCTGAAAGTGGCCTAAAAAAAAATCCAATTCTGATTGGTTCTCGCTCATGGAGGCCGAAACGAGTGCACCAAGATGGCGGTACCTCGAATGTGAACAAGAATAATGAAAATATTACCTAATTGTGGTTTATCAAGAGTAAATTGTTATTTCCATCGGTCCAAAATGAAAATAGATTAAGAAATTATTCACAAACCAATCTCATTTTCTTTTTAATTGATCAATTTGTTGATGTTGTTGTTTTTGTGTGACAGACATCGCAGGATTCCTGATCCTTATCCCTCAATATCGTTCGTTTGGGTGCACTCGTTTCGGCCTCCATGGCCAGACAAGGCCGGCTGCCAGTCAGCTGATAATCGAGTTGTCTTAACTCTGGGTATAAAGGGACTCTAATGGAGGGCGAGGGCGGAGGAAAAATTTTGTGTGGGATTTTTTTTTTTTTTTTTTTAAGATATTTTTTTTTAAAGGAATTTTTCATTTTTTTTCAGTTAAGTATGAGGTAGTGAAAGGTTTTCAATGGCGTTAGGTTCCGTTGGATTCTGCGGATTTGGAGGTTAAATTTTGTTGAAATTTAAGATTTTTAACATTTAAAAATCTTATTAACACCCACATTATTACGAAATTGACGCAATAAACGATTATAAGCAATTGCAAGTCAGTCTGGTGAACATGTGGCGAAGAAGTGCGAAAAAATGGCGGTTATGGATGTAAACAATAACATTACAACAATCCAGCAAACTCGGCAGCGGTCCACAGCAGCCGAAAACCTCGCTGAGCTGTTGGGCAGTTTGCTGAGCAGCCATCTTGGAAAACGGGTAAATCCACCAGAATTTACCAACGCTTTCGTTGAGCTCAACGCTCAGCGGGTAATTTTCGTTGGGCAGTTGTGGACTTTAACAACGCACCTAAAGTTGCCACGAGCGCACCGGTAATCGACCGATGACCATTGACTATTCGGATGCTATCTCGTAGATTGGCGCGGGAATTTCGAAAAAGCAGTAGGATTGTAATTTTTAAGTCGGAAATTAAAAAAATTTAAGTTGAGTGGAACATTAATTTTTTTTTTGTTGAAAAACATTAGTTGAACAGAATGCCACTAATTTATTAAAGAGCTGATGACCTAACCTAACCTAACCTAGCCTAACCTAACCTAACCTAACCTAACCTAACCTAACCGAACCTAACCGGTAAGTCAGTAAAAGTCGCTGATTTAGCTAACTATTTTCAATATAAAATTAATTGTTGTAAAAATGAGATTTGACCTTACCGCTAAGTCAGTAAAAGTCGCTGATTGAGCTAACTATTTTCAATATTAAATTAATTGTTGTAAAAATGAGTTTTGTGACTTATTTGGACGAAGAATCATGATTGGGGGATTTTACAGATTGGAAAAAAAAAAACAAAAAAAAGTTCCTGTGGCGGGAACCGAACTCGGCATCTTCATGGTAGCAGTCGAACGCTTTACCCGTTGGACCACCGATACTTATGAGGCTTTAATGGAAATAAGTAGTATATAAGGGTAGTGAGAGTTATTGTTGTTGAAAAGAAGATGCATCGTTGACCGGTGACCGACGCGGATGGTTGCTGGGGATTCTGCAACTTTTCATGCCTCTTTCCTTCTCAAGAGTAAACATCGAGTGGAATTTGGGTGGCCATCATCAATTTCCTCTTTCTAGGGATGGTCGAATATTTGATATTCGAATCATCGGCACCGAGATAATCGCATCACATTCGAATATTCGCTCCCCAAGTATTCGAAATCGCACATTCGAATAATTTGAATAATCGCATTCGAATATTCGGATAATCGCATTCAAAAGTGTCATTTTATCTCTCACGGTTCATAAAAAATCAAAAATCGAAGCAATAATCGAAAATATCCGAATATTCGCATCCGAACTGTTTGCAATCACAGGATTCGAATTCTCAAATATTCGCAATAATCGCATTCGAAAAGTTTCGAATATTCGCATTCCAATTCGATATTCATCCATCCCTATTCTGGACATCAAAACGAAGTGATTGATCTATGACACAATATGCCTTCACGAACTTGCACACGGGAATACCTATGCCCCCTGAATAGATAATCCTTAAGTAATCCAATTACTTAGCGCGAGTGGCGTATTTCGGGTTTTTGCGGTGATTAACGGCTATCATGTGATGTTTTGCAGATTTCACCGTGGTCGACTTTTTCAACCAGATCAGCAAGAATGAGTTGGTTTGAGAAAGAATGAGCCTTAATAAGACGACAGTAATTGTATTACCTACATAAAAGGTTTTAAGTGACCTCAGCAGGGCTGACTCCTACTCCGAGACTAATATTAAAGCTATTGTTGATGCTAATATTTAATATGAAATTGTTTACTTAAAGCAGCACAAAATTTTACTCGGGACCTGGAGTTAGTGGAAGAAAATAAATAACTAGACCAATAATTCTTTTTATTTTAAATAAACGCTTTTAGAAAAAATAAAACAATAAGGATAAAATGCCAAGTTTTTGTATACACTAGACATAACACTGTACAAAAATACAGATTAAAGATAGATGGCCTATGGCCAACTAAAAAATTCATGAAGTAAGTAAAACTGATTTACTTGGTGTGATGATCAGAGAAAAGTGCAGATATAGCAAATTAGGGTCGATATTCTTGTTCTGACTTGGCAGACTAGACTTGCTATGCTGCATCCCAGACTCCAAGGACCCATACTACTCATCGTCTTAAGAAACTCAATAATCCAAATCCTGCTGGCAGAAAGAAAAAAACCTTCCGGTGAACTTCTCAACTTTACAGGGATAAAGGAGAGCAACACGAGAAGAAAACTTTAGAGGGTGTCTACTAAAATCAATTTTGGATTTTTCTGATATTTTGAAAGAAATTCCATAATTTTTGGCGCAAATAAATTGATGCTTGCTTGATTTTACAAACAGACTTATTTAATGAACCTAATCAATGTTTCATTTATGCATGTAGTTGAAGAATGCTTTCATGCACTCAGAATTTCCTGATCCGGCACCAGTTTTCCTGATGACACCAAACTTCCAAACTTCGGTTTTTACTTGCAGTGGACACTCCTTACAAGTTGCAAACACTAAGTTTTGATTCGACCAGTAGGGTACATGTATTCTCAATCATAGCATTCTAGACTGCGGCATTTTCAAAATAAAATGAACCTTCAATTACCTCTGTTGACATCTCTGTTACAAGGGCCATCAAAGTTAAGTTCCATATTTCATATCTTCTGCGTAGTAAGAGATCAATTTGATTTAAAAATACACATTAAACTCTTTCCTGCTTTCAGGCAAGCTCAAGTTTTTGAAAATCGGTCAAGGAATTCATAAAATCTCAGGAAATCAGTAATCTCAAGACTACGATCACTGCAGAAGGAGTAAATGACAAGAAAAAACAAATAGACACAAATTAAGGAGGGAAGCCAACCTGTCTCTCACTTCTCATTCTTTTCGCATTTGTTCTTTATTTTTTTTCTGTTGCGCTAGGCGCATACTTCTACGAAGTCGAGTTCCTACCATGCGTGACGGTGATGTTGACATCTTGGATACTGAGTCCCAGTTCATGATAATGTTGTCCCACTGAAAAGTAAAATAAAAATAGTATTGACACACCTACATAATGAATTTATTTAAGTGGGAGAACTGAGCTTTCAGGACTGGATAGTCGCAGGCACTTTCATTGCCTGATTAATACTCAAGATTTGCCAAAAAAGTCATGTCTTTAAATGCAGGTGCAATGGAAATTGAATAAATAGGACATTGCTTCTGACAACAGACAGTCGTAGCAACAAGTGATCTAGTCGGTCCAGTGGCTGAAATCCCATTTACACGATATAAACAGGGTGTTCCAAAAGTCCCGCTCCCCCTCTAACTTTGGAATGGTTAGAGATAGAAAAACGAAACTTTGGGAATGTTTCTATCTTAAAGAGGACCATCTTTAAGGGGGGCGTCAACATTTTTGTCCCCCCCTCAGGGGGGGGGGGGTGGCCTCTCAACTTATTTTTTTCAAATGGTAACTTCTATCTTGTGATACATAATTGGAAAGAACATTAAAAACTAAGATTATCACGCAAACCGCAGATCCATATCTTAATTTTTGACAGAGATTTAAGTCAATAGTCAAATTTCACCTATTTTCAAAAAATCATAACTCCGGTTCAAATTATCATAAAGAGAAAAATAAAACGGGAAAATTCTTCAAATTGTGAGCATTTTTAAGTAAAAATCCCTGAAATCACTTCAAAGTAATTTCAAGGGGGGGCTCCGACCCTCAAATACGTCAGTTCGAAGGTCATACGATTTTCCCGCGAAATGTGCCAATTTCCCTTAAATTTGCCTCAACATTATTTCAGTAAGTTCAAAATTGGTTCAACGTTACGTTTTAAAGTTCCCAAATTTCGGAAAAAGTTAAAAAGAAAAACGAAATTGAAAGGTCAAATTTATTTCCTTAAATTTTTTTTGTTTTAACTTTTCCGGCAATTTGGTAACTTGAAAACGTAATGTTGACCCAATTTTGAACTTACTAAAATAATGTTGAGGCAAAGTTAGAGGAAATTGGCTCATTTCGCGAGAAAATCGTATCACCTTTGAACTGACGTATTTGGGGGTTGGAGCCCCCCCTTGAAATTACTTTGAAGGGATTTCAGGGATTTTTACTTAAAAGTGCTTCCGATTTGGAGAATTAACCGTTTTATTTTTCTCTTTACAATAGTTTGAACTGGAATTGATGATGATTTTTTGAAAATACAGGGTGATCCAAAAGTCCCTTCCACCCCCTCTAACTTTTTACCTAATTGAGATAAACATTTGTAATTTGGGGGATATTCCTAGGTCAAAGGGAGCTACTTTTTGGCCCCCCTAAAATTTTCAGGGAGGCCCCCCTTGGGGGGGGGGGCAACGGCCCTCAACTTTTAATTTTCAAATGGGAAGACCCCCTTTGTGATAGCTCATTCGAAAGAGCATAAAAAAAGAAAACTTTCCGCGCAAACCCAAAGTCAATATCTCAAACCGTTTCAAAATGGCGGCCGGTTCAAGTTCAAAATGGCCGAAAATTCACACCGGTTATTTGTCGATGGAATTGCGCGAAAATCGGTGTGTACGGGTATTTTGACACGAGAAAAACAAATTTGACGTTAGATTTTCAAAAAACCGAAATTTCCAAAATGGCCGCCGGTTAAAGTTCAAAATGACCAAAAATTGGTTTTTTCAGAAATCTAAGTTCAAATTTGTTTATCTTATGCCAAAATACTCTGAAATTCTAAGTTTTGGGCAAATCCATCAGGAAAAAACCGAGGTGACAATTTTCGGCCATTTTAAACTTTAACCGGCGGCCACTTTGGAAATTCTGGTTTTTTTTTTTAAAATCTAACGTCAAATTCGTTTTTCTCGTGTCAAAATACCCCGACACACCGATTTTCACGCAAATCCATCGACAAATAACCGGTGTGAATTTTCGGCCATTTTGAACTTTAACCGGCCGCCATTTTGAAACGGTTTAAGATATTGACTTCGGGTTTGCGCGAAAAGTTTTCTTTTTTTATGCTCTTTCGAACGAGCTATCATAAAGGGGGTCTTCCCATTTGAAAATTAAAAATTGGGGGCCGTTGCCCCCCAAGGGGGGCTCTCCTGAAAATTTTAGGGGGGCCAAAAAGTAGCTCCCTTGGACCAAGGAATATCCCCCAAGCTTCAAATCTTTACCTCAATTAGGTAAAAAGTTAGAGGGGGTGGAAGGAACTTTTGGATCACCCTGTAGGTCAAATTTGACCGTTGATCTATCATATCTTGGTCAAAAATTAAGATATGGCTCTGTGGTTTGCGTGATAATCTTAGTTTTTAATATTCTTTCCAATTATGTATCACAAGATAGGGGTTACCATTTGAGAAAAATAAGTTGGGAACCCCCCCCCCTCCCCCCCGGAGGAAGGGCCATAAATATGGATCTGTGGTTTGCGTGATAATCTTAGTTTTTAATATTCTTTCCAATTATGTATCACAAGATAGGGGTTACCATTTGAGAAAAATAAGTTGGGAACCCCCCCCCCTCCCCCCCGGAGGAAGGGCCATAAATTTTGACATTATCTTCAGGATAGAAACATTTCCAAAGTTTCGTTTTTCTATCTCTAACCGTTCAAAAGTTAGAGGGGGAGCGGGACTTTCAGAACACCCTGTATACAGGCATAGGTTATGCCCCTGCATAGGTTATGAGGACAATCAGATATAACGACCAAATAAAGCCAGTCCTTAGAGGGTTGTTCTATCCAATAACCATTATAACTAAAAAAGTGTGCTGCTAACAGTGACTATTGAATCCAGAAACTGAGGTAGTAAAGTTTAAAAACTAATGTCCTTATAAAAAATGAAACGCTTCAGTGCTTCCTTGTCAAAAAAAATATTTTTGTGGGTTTATGTTTACCAAGTCCACATTTCCTGACAATTTCTGATTGTTGTTTTAATGATTTTTTTTAAATTCAACATCAGTAATGAAAACTTTGGAGTTTTGCATCCCGCTGACGTAAAAAATGCAGCGTCTTCGAAAACTACCAAGTGGTCTTTCAAGTGCACAGATGGACTTCATTTTGCGAATTAGGAACTAAAATTTCTGGCTCATCCGTAAAAACACTTATGCGCACAGCAAAGGTAATGGTACCTACGTTGTTTTTAAACTGAGCCAGAATTTGTGGTTCCAAATTGCAAAATATAGCCCAAATGGGCCTCTAAACAAGATATGCATTAAAGCACAAATTGGGATGTTTTTTCTTTAAAATTTCATAAGGAGAATAATTCACACACAGGGAATGTGAAGGAATCAACCCCTCAACAAGCCATGGACTTACAGCCATGGGATACAATTGACATTGGTTAAACAGCAAAAATACAAATGACGCCATTTGAATGGTCTAACTTCCATCTGATCTGTGTTGAGGATACTTGTTATTACCTCATCGAGGAGTTGATTTCCAAACTTCATGTTGTGTGAATCGTTTTCAAAAAAAGATATTGAAGAGAAACCATCGAACGTTAATTCCTAGTTCAGACCTTATTTAGTGGCCCATGAACGGAAAATGTAACTATGTATATAGATTAGACAGGAAACAGTTGGCGACTGATAAACACTTACGGCTGTGGAGCAGAGTTCATTTCGATATGGGTGCCAAGAAACATCCCTCACACAGGCAGAATGGCCAGTCAGAGCCGCTGCGATCTCTCCAGTCAGTGCATCATAAACTGAAAGAATGAGAAAGGTCACTTGGACTTCAGGGGACATAATAAGCACGCTGAAGTGAGCTAAGACCTGTAAATTTTTTTTTTTTATTTTGAGACTTAAAAGCTGCAAATGCTGTTAAACTTATTTTTGACTCAATGATGGCCGCATGTAAACATACATATTTCGCACAATGAACCACTAGACAAAGTACGAATTCAAGCATTCTGATTCACGGTTCTAAAGCAAAATTTCACGGAGAACACAATTCTTGCATCAAAAATTACTGTAATCAACTTCTAACTAAGATGTTAACGAGTTAATTTTGCACTGGTTACAGGAAATTTGAATTGCCCAGTCACAAGAAACAAAATACTCAAAGTGAATCAAATTGCCCACTAAAACGGTTTTGGCAGGCTTTTCAATCAAACATTGTTCATTTCTCACCCTTTATTATTTTAAGTGTAAACAATTCGCTATAGCTCAGCCAAAGCGTCAGGATTGAGATTGCTATACTTTCGTATTGCAGAGACTGCCACAGTAACGTTTGGTTTGCGATCTGACGTACGTAGATCACTGTATTTACATGAGTGGGAGGTTTGAATTCACAAGAATAATTAAGAAACATTAGATATCTTGAATACGCGTCAATTTCAGTAATTTTTGTTGCACGAATTTTGTTCTATGTTAAATTTTGGTTTAGAAACATGTATCAGAATGCTTAACTTTGTACCTTATCTAGTGGTCCATTTTCTCCTGACACAAAAGTTTTGGGGTCATTCCGTGCTACATGGGAGGGACCAGTTAACCACCTGATTTGGATTTGCATGATTTTTCTTTGCTTATTATTTAGATCAAAGTGAGATATAATCCAAATTTTTGGTCCAAATACCCAACAGTTTTTGAGAAAAAAATTATCCAAGTTACAATGATTTTAAAAAAAGGCATTTTCGGAATCACAAAAGCGAGTGTATCTTCTCTTCAAAAAATTATCTTTAAAAATTTGAGTTTTGAAAATATCGGGCTGAAAATTTGTATCTTGAGTTAAATTGAAGACATGATACAGAGTACAGCTGCACTGATGAAACAAGCGATGATGATTTTTCAACATTTAAAGGATAAGAAAAGGTTTCCTTTACAGACACTGCTTTTTACTTGAGCAATCGGAAAGATCTAGAAAAAAACAACAATACTCACTGACAGTTTGCCCAGAAGCACAACCAGTAAAAATATAGCGCTGCCCAGTTGAGAAGGCTGGAGAGAACCTACACCTTATCAGAGTTTGAAGGACAGAATGTCCGCGATAAGTCATCACAGATGAGTCTCCTTCTAGACTTTTGACATTTTTACAGACTAGAATAAAGAGCAGACAACGACAACAAAAAGTTAAAAGAATATTTTGATACAAATTGTTTAGAGATAAGGACATCCATCCCATAATCATGAATACTATTAATTTAAACAACCAAAGCTGCAGAACTTATCTGATTTGCCGAGGACATGTCAGATGCTACAATAACAAAGCTAACTAAGTATCTAATCAACCCTGTCACACTGGGCACCTTCCGCTTGTGAAAGCACGCAGATACCAAAATTTGCCCAAAAATGATCCTTCGTCCAATGTCTACGCAAGCAATTTAGCCATTACAAAAGTATATAAATCTTTCCCTAGTATTACCATATTTGGAAAAATGAGCCGATCTTTGTTGAATGGATTTTCATGCCATTTCATACCCTTTACTCTGAAAGCTTGGGTAATCATTCTTGCGATGTAGTTTCAATATCTAAAAAACGAAAATTCATAGCCATCTGCTGCTTGTAGATGTTCTTCAAGCTGAGAGACTTTTACAGTGTGAACTGCACGAAAAGAACAAAGCACCACGAAAATGATGCAAGAATAGAACATGCTTCCATAAAACACTCATGAAAATTTTGTTAGTGGGTTTTTTGCGTTGAAATTACTTGAGATTTCATCATAAGGAGAAGTCAATACTTTAAAACCGGCAGCCAAGGCTACGGTTGTCCAGTTTGCCACAGGTGCACCACCATAATACCGATCGTTCTTTCACCTTGAGATCCAATGGCCACACTTAACTGAAAACAAGTAGCAAAAGCTACCTGCTGAGGGGGCGCCGCCCCCCCAGACCCCCCCCCTTTCAAATTATATATGTGAGACTTTCAGTATCATAGAAGTCGTGCGGCGACATGCCGAATGAAATGCCACAATTAAAATTATTGGATCAGATGATGAGCTGATAAAAGCCTTACCCAGTAATTTGGGAACATTTCTGACACAGTTTGGTTGCTTTAACTATCACTTTGATTTGCGAAATACAAATCGTTTTCACTTCGTATGTTGTTAAATTTGATTTTGACTGACTAAGTTTCTGATGGATTCAAACTCATAATATACATTTAGGTTCCAGGGAAAGAAAAATGCAGATGAGCTACACTTCACATGAATATAAATTGAGTAAAAATAAATAATCCGAAGAAGTGATGAAATAAATGATAATTGTTTACTACAGTAAATACTATACCTAGGATTCATAGGAATTTTAAATAAAATCCCACCCATCACTAAAATAACCCATACGTATATACTCGTGGTGCCTGCTCTCGGCTCGATTTCGCCGAATGGAATTCTTTATCATCGCGGTTGTCCTTGTTGCGTGCGGGAGGAAATGAAGGCGCGCTCGCAGTAGCAAGAAGCAAACGCGCCAGGTTGCTTGCGACGCGTGAATGTAGCTTAACCTCCACAGATTAACAAACCGTCGAGCAGCCACGCGAAAAGTCCTATACCTGCATAGAGAAAAAAAAAGAGGTATTTGCATCTTGAGGTTTGTTTACACTGTGACGTAGGTCTGTACAACCTGGCCGGCGAAATCCGAAATTCGTACTATGAAAAATTGACCATAATTTCCGATTTTCCGAGGTGTAAAATACACAACTCAGCAGAAGGAAGAGAGAAAAATCGATTCTATATTTCTGGAGATAAATGTATCGATACGGACGATATATCAACGTTGAAATATCGATACAATATTTTGGTCTAAAATATCGATAGTCTGGTGGCGCGGAGCGTCTTTGGGGGGGAGGGGGGGGGGGG